TGAAATTACCAAAACTCAGGGTGGAATTGGAATTGATCGCACTCGTGGGCTTACCACACCTCAGTAACTGAATTGTTTGCTCACACCACAGTATACCAGGGCTGCCACTTGCTCCGATTTTTCGGAAATCGTCAGATTTTTGACCGCCTGTCTGACAAACCGACCGATTTTGTTCCCCAAGAGGGACAACCGATTATTTTATTTTGAGCGCTTTTTAGTCCAGTTGGCCATTAATTCATAATTGACATGGTTGTAGTGCGTGTGCTGGACAGTTAAATATGTGTTCTGGAGTCCCAACAGCAAGCCATTTTTCTAAAAAAATTCACCGCGGTGGCCCTGCCCCCTGCACCCCCGACGGGGGAACCCCCCGGACCACCACGACAGATTTTTCTCCCTCCAAGTGTGGCAGCCCTGGTATACATACCTCCATGAACGGTACGCAGCCCGCGCCGCAGCGCGAATCCAGAACGCCCTCGCGCAGTTCGTGCTCGGTCAAGTCGAGCGCATCGCCGTTGACCTTGTCGATGTGCTCCAGCACCGCCAGTCTAGCGTTGAGTACAGCCTGACGATCATGAAGACCTCGTATGAACAAATACCTGGGGCGGGATTCACACGGCAGAAAAAGTAGAGGACAGCATGGGAAAGCACAGTGTCAGGGTTAAACGGTTTTGAGAGCTGCTGGGAAAATTCTGCAAAGTTCTCCAAAGTTGAATAATTATGAGTCGATTCAACACTAGCTGCATTCTGCCCACGCATACACAAACGCACGTACACAAACACACGCGCACCCCGTGCACCATGTATACGCCCGTCGCAAGAGAAGCACGCGAATCTGCAAATGCACTGGATGCGCACCCGCAGATTTTCTCTTTTAGCAACGATACAGGACAAGATCTGAATGAGACCGATCAAGACTAGCGCCAGATAACTACCCAATCTACATAAGCTGCAAGTCCATGTGAATCGACCACCAATGCACACCTGGTACAGAGTACATCGGGACAAAACGGCCAAGAGAGCACATGCATGCACACACGCATGCACGTTCGTGCACACACACACACACACACACACACACACACACACACACACACAAAGTAACGCACACAAACACGCACACACACACACACGCACACACACACGAACAGAATAATTATCTATTACTCCCTTCAATAGTAATCCCTTTCATTACCCTTTCTCGGCCAGTTCTTGTCTCAACGCCGTACCATCGTTCATCAGGTTGTTCGAGTCCGCTAACTGCTGGAGTCCATTGCTGGGGAAAATCCAATCTTGATCGCTACCAAGCTGCACGCTACGAGCGCCGATGGACTTGTCATCTTGTCTCTGTGAGGACCTTGCGGCGGAGGAACATCCTCGTCTGAACACGCCTTGCAATGAATGAGGTTTCGTCAATGCACTCGCTGCTGTGTGCTGCGAATTTCTGTCGTTGAAGTATGTTGTCCAGCGGGCGAAGGAACTGCTGCGCCTGTGGCGTGTGGTCACTGGACAGCGTAGAGAAACCAAACTTGATCCTGGTTTCGCCGTTCTAGGCTCTCCTTCGCGGGACAGTTGATTGATAACGGAGGAAAATGTTCTGGAACTGCTCGAATGAATGGCTACGGAATTCCAGGACGTACAGAAAGAATTCTGTAGTGGCAACGCAGTACGTCGTGAATAAAACAAAAGCCTCGCCATTGCTGCAGGCAAACGAAATGTTTGCGAACCGCAGAGTGGGGTGAGTCTTCCTCAAAGGAGTCCAAACGTTCGGAATGCCAGCAAGAGAAAGTGGTGTCCCCCAAAACCGCTCCGCGGTGAAGCTAATTAGCTAAACATAAGAAGGCGTCAAGATTTGCGAAAGAGCTGTCAGGCTCACCTCCGTTATCCGAACCAAGTCAGTTGAAGTATTGTGATTTCACCCAGGCCTAGCCTCCCTGTCGTGGACGCGTCGTGGACATGGTGGAGGGCGGCTTTCACAGATCCCTGATTTCCCCTACCGGCATCTGGTGCCGACTTGATATCAATGTGCACTCGGGGTAGCGCCGCGACTGAAGGGCCCAGGCGACCCTTAGGCTCATGAACAAAGACGCAGCCAGCCCGCCCGGCGCTGGATAGAGTGAACTGAGCAATGCATTGAGTGTTGTGTGTGCTATAAATAAGGACAGTGTAGCGATGTGGTAGGAGATCGAATTATTTTCAACACAAGGCTGTAGATCCATTTCCTTCGATCTCCTTCGAAGTAGACATTTTTCACACTGGTTTCTTGGGAGCAGTTCCAAAAGGTCACATTCTGTTCAAGTACGTCCGCCGCGTGGCCGTCTCACAAACGAAACATGGCAACAGATCTCCCTCCCAGAGTGAGACAGGGAGTCGTAAAACCCGATTCCCTGCTACCACAGATTTGCAGAGGCATGCATGCATACACTTGTCTTTATGATTATGATTGATGTGCTTGATTTTATTCATTCATTCAGTCCGAGAGGCGATACGTAAGTAGCCTTGCCAACATTGTCACGCAACCGTTACAGTCACACGCGAAGCCGAAGTTTATCGCATGCAGGCCGCGCGCATGGATTCGAAAGCGGCTGACGAAATAAAACCATCAATTCATCAATCAAGTCACTTACCTGTCGCGCTGGAGCTGCAGAGTTCAGCCCGCAGGTAGATTACCATGATAGTGAGGTTTTGCATTCCGAAATTCGGCAAAAAGATTGGGTAAATCTACCTCAGCTCACCCAGCGCCTGTGCGCGCGTAGATCTACGCCGTAATAAGGGTTCGAAGGGGAAAATCAATCAAGTCAAGGCAGACGACTGGCACAATAACGATAGTGATTGTCATGTTAGCCGTGTGTGTTTGAATGAAAATATTTTGAGTCACCCAGTGCGTGGAGTAGGCCGCAGAGCTCCCTTCCAGTTGAGTTCGCCTTCCCCTTTTCGAGCGCCTTTGAAAGGTCCACGGAACATTGTCATAGTCGACACGTATCGAAGAGCAAGTCGATGAAAGACTGACATGTACCCGAGAACAATAATTGTTGCCGTTGTGACGTCCAGCCACAGTGATCGGTACCTCTAGTACATTTACCTGGAGTTCAGGGTCTCCCCTTCGAAAAGTGAGCTGGGTGACCCGAGGAGGTGTTTGGTGCGGGTGCCTGGAACACCCTGGGATGGATATTGTCGAGCCGGAGTTCACCAAGACACTACCTTCGGACCTGTGACAGGTATGTTGAAATAAGCATCACTGTTTAGCACGTACCCGCACCTGGCCGCAGCAGAAGCAAGCAGGGCCCTGCAGTTCCGAATTAGGCCAGTGTGTGAAACTGCTGCAGAACTCGGAAAAGTCGTACATTGTACCCACATGATCAGCAGGAAAGGCAGGACCGACGGAAGCAGTGTTTGATTGGTCCGGTCATACCCTAGCCTTTCATACAGTTTGTGTGTGATACGGTGGGTATACATAACCTCCTCAGCAGTAACACACACGTTGGTAGCCAAACAGTTGCTCCGGCCATGGCCTGACCAACTGGACAGGACAGGTTTCGCCACCTCTGAAAGTGTACTTAGTATTGGAGGTGGTTATTATCTCAACAATTCAGCGGCGAATATAGCGATCTCTACAGGGAGGTTCCAGTATAGTCAAAACTGAATAGCTGATACATGTACATGAATAAGCATATTGTTGCCAGTAGTACATTTACGGAATTTAGGGGGTTCCACGGAACCCCTGGAACCCCTCCTGGATCCGCCCCTCAACATACTGTTCATCTTGGACCATCCACGGTTGGTTAGGTCACCGTTTCCGAACACGGTACTTTTCGAGCATTATCCGCCAAAGGCAAAGGTTAACCTACGTCTTATCAGATTAAACCTTTGGCGGATAATGCTCGAAAAGCAGTGAGTTTGGCATAACCATTCTAATAAACCCTATGCATTGAAATCTGCTCCATTTCTACATCCACATATTAAACATGCATGAAATATGCAGTAACACCTGTGACTGACGACCACCCCTTGGTGCCAGCAAAACGGTCTTTAGTAGCAGGTGGTCTTTAGTTAGAGGTTTGCACTGTGCGACCATATATGGATCCCATTACATGATATGTTTGTCAAAATGCAGCTAATACAATTCCCCAGGAATTGCGCAATGCCATGCTTATTTCAGGTCAAACTACTCTTGGAGAGAAAGACGGAGAGAGAGAGAGAGAGTGTGTGTGAGTGAGAGAGAGAGAGAGAGAGAGAGAGAGAGAGAGAGAGAGAGAGAGAGAGAGAGAGAGAGAGAGAGAGAGAGAGAGACAAGAAGACAGAGAGACAGACAGACAGAGAGAGAAAATTATTTTTTGCCGACATCAAAACTCAGCTGCTACTTCTGAAACCAGAAGTCAAATTTTCCCTGTGGAAGTCTCGTTTTGCGCTGGGCTTCAAATTTGTTCCTGCAATCAATCGTACCGACTGTCCTTGCTGTGACTTCTCGATTGCTTGAACGCGATCCCAGTTCAGCATCAGGATCTTGAGGTGCTGCTTTGTTTCTGGATTCCGAATTATACGTTTCATCAGTGTCGAGAGTTTGTATGTACAGGTAAATGTATACTGTCAAAGCCATTATTCTAACGAGTCGCAATTAAAACGATTTCCTGAAATTGACCGGTTTACGTGTACAAAAGGTACAGATTCTCTCACTCATTCTCAACTCTCACTAGCAACAGTATTTGTGTCCAGTTCTGCGTAACGTTTCCTGTTTTAACCATAGATTTCCTTCTCGGTAACTCATTAGATTTAGCATTTTGTTTAAGGCTCTTAAGGCTCCGATGTCTCCCTCTCCCTCACCATTGTTGTTTCTGTCAATATCCAGCACAAGTTAAAAGTCCTTCAGCTCCATCTCTCCATCTCTGCACACCTGCATCTCTCCATCTCAACCACCAGCGTACTAATGATTACGTCCTCAATGAGTTCCGATGACGTCAGAGGGGCGGAGGGATCTCCGCAGCTATTTCTCGCTCGCCCGGTCCGGTGCACGCATTGCTCCACAATCGCTGCTCTCACAAGATGAAGCCAGGTACGTTGTGCTGGGGCGTTTTTCTACAGTAAAGCCTGTCAATGCGACCACCTTTGCTGGGAGACCACTGAAACCAGGACCAAGGGATGTTATTTCCAGTCAAATGACCCTGGATAAAGAGACCACCTGGTGACAGGGACCACGTTTTGAAGGTCCCCGGTTGAGCGGTCGCCTTAGACAGGTTTCATTGTATGTGATTCTGGGACTGAAAGTTCTTCTCTGCTGGGAAATCTGCCTTCCTAGCTGTTCTGCTCCCTGGCTCTCCAATGAGATTTCAAAATAGGATTTTGTACAGGTGTGTAACTGGTCCCCCTTTTAGGGAGGTGCACAGCCGCATACATGTATGTGAAGGATGGCTGGTGCATGTCATTCATGGTCATTATGTGCATGCTGAACATAGGTCGAAATGTTTAGGGAATGCACCAAATTTTCGGCACGTATAAATTCGGCCTCCCAGGGCTAAACACGTTTCGGCCGTATTAAAATTTCGGCTTATACTGATGCACTGTCACACTGAACCTTGCAAAACAAAATTTAGGCCGCAACAAATTTTCAGCCAAAAGTGCCCAGGCCGAAAATAGCCAAAAATTAACCTTTTGAGCCCGGGCCCATTGAAAACCTCTGCCACGCAGTAAATTTTTTAAATTCACTCGATGTGAGGAAACTTGATTTCAAACGATTCTTTCATGTATCCTGAGCTCAGAACTGTTTTTGTTTTGGAAATACGACAAAGAATACAAAAGTTATGACCGTTTTCATAAAGGTAGTTATACGCGAAATTGGTATTTGGAAATGTATGCACGCGCATGTAACTCCAGTTCAAACTTACGGAGCGACTCACACTTTTTTTATGGTACGCGTACATACTAGGAGTCCTCTGTGCAGCAGTACAGCTCGACGCCACGCCACGGAAGAAACGCGGGATCGATGTAGTTCCGCACTGACTCGTGACGTCCATGAACGTCACCGTGTCACAGTGGCAGTGGTCATGACGTGTCAGAACGTCACGCGTGCTCAAAAGGTTAATACGTGCACAATTTTTGTTGACTTACATGTACACTAAGTCATTGTCATCCTTGGGAAATTCTTTCTCCGCATTCAGATCGGCGTCAGCGGAAGTGGAAGCCACAACCACCACTAGATTCTCAGCACCACCACCATCATCATCTGAAGCTGGCCAGCAGAGCGGTAGAGGTGTGCCCAAGGAAAACACTATTACTGATGGACCTGAGGACCGGGACAATGCGCACCGTGGAGCGCCACAGTCCAAGGTATGGAAGGTTATATTTATCAGGGCATATTAGTCTATGATAATATATCATAGACTTATTTCAAGGCGACAATATGCGGTAGTGTGTGTGTGTGTGTGTGTGTGTGTGTGTGTGTGTGTGTGTGTGTGTTTCTGTGATTCACTGGCCAGACAAAAGCCACTTCCTAGCTGTGTGGTGGATACCAGGCTGAATACTGGCAGTCAATTCTTCAGCCTTGCAAGCTGTTGAATGGTGCAACCCCAGCACAAGTTGCTATAGCTTCTGCTGTAGCATCGCTATCGTAGCCTTCGGCGATGGGCGTAAAAAAAGGTCAAATGGTGTGTGGGGGGGGCATGTATGCGTGTGTGTACGTGTGTATGGGGGGGGGGGAAGGAGCGTAGATGCAATTGTGTATGATTGTATAGCAAGCCTACATGATATCGGTTACATGCGATCAGCAAGGTCGGTGAGAGCCGATTGGCTGCATGATTGAAAAAACAAACATTCCGCCTACTTCTCAGGCATGAATCCTTGTCATTGTGGAAACCAAAGAATTGAATTCAATAATTCTCACATTGACGATGCGCCATGATGTATATGTAACAACGTTATGAGATTGTGTCCACTAGTTGTGGGAATGGGAAAGGGAAAAGTCTGAAGAAAAAACGTACTGTCACCACCAGGACTCAAACCAGAGACCTTCGAGATTGAAAGTTGATTTCGCAGTAGGAAGACCGGGCCGGGGAAAGGGTTTTCTTCTCTTAAAAAAAAAAATATGCAAAATGCTGTCTACGAACAATTTAAAAGGTTTTCCACTTTTACACATTGAGTCAAAGCACCGTATTTCCTCGATTAATAGACCCGGTCTTTTGTTTTTTGAAGAGGGTTGGACCCCCGGTCTCTTATTTGGGTATGGTCCATTATTTGAGCACGGTCCACTATTATTTTCATCTGCACATCGTTGGAAATGGTGGATTTTTAACACGTCATAATATAGAAGTTCTATATATAGAAGTTCTATATTATGACGTGTCAAAAATCCACCATTTCCAGCGATGTGCAGATGAAAATAATAGTGGACCGTGCTCATATAATGAAAGAAAGCACTAGCCACTACAAAAATTGTAGTTGCGCAACCTAAAATCGCGTCCTTTTTTGATCCACCACGTGCTTTCTTAGTGCGCATGCGCAAAGCGATGAACTCAAATAAGAGACCGGGTCTCTAATTCGGGCATGGTCTACTATTTTTCCGTGATGCCCATAGGAGGGTCTACTATTTGAGCATGGTCTATTATTCGAGCATGGTCCATTAATCGAGGAAATACGGTATGTAACGTTGCTTTCATGACAAGTCCAATTTTTTTATGACATCGCATACCAGGACACAAGTACAGTCAGACCTCGTTTATCCGGTCCTCGTTTATCCGGATCCCTCGCCATCCGGTAGAAAATGGTTGGTTACCGATTTACAGCATATGCCATGCATACATACAGTATGTGTGTTCGATTATCCGGTTCCCTCGCCTATCCGGATGTTTTGCTGGAAAACGAATGTGTGCGGTTATGCGAGGTCTGACTGTATAGAGGATGTAGGCATGTATCACTATACTCAAAATCCATGAAACTGCAGGCACGCACAGGAGCCGTATGTTTAGCGTCGTCCACGAGCGGTACTATTCTGCTCAGGGTAAGTCTGGGCGTAGATGAAGTAAAGGGGGCCGGTGTCCGCGGAGAACGTCAACTCTGAGTTGACGTCCGCACACAGCTGCGGTAGTTCCTGTCCCGTGTAGTCCACGAGAAGGTAGCACGCTTTGGGCTCACCGAAGCGCACCGTCATCTGGCACGGGATTAGGGTAGCGTTGGAGCACCATGCCACCAGGTTACGCTGTATCGGCCATGGAGCGCCGGCTGTATCATCATTACTAGCATCGTGATCTCCCCCGACGTCATCATTACTGACATCATGATCTCCCCCGACTGCATCACCACTGACAGCTTGATCTCGTCCGGCTGCTTGCCCTGCTCCATGCTGTCTCTCAACCCTCGCAGAACGTGCAATTCCACTGTCCTGACTCGCAACTCCCTGATCAGGTTCCACCACAGAGTAGGTATTCTTACGGACGGTCATCTCCGGAGCGGAAAACACCAGCGCGTACAGTTCGCTCTTGTTGCCAATGCTGCTCGTGACCGGCAAACGCTGCTCAAATTTCAGGCCATGAAGAATAGTGGTGAGGGTCTGTGCTGCATGGTATGCTGGCTTGGGATCATGCACAGGAGTTCTCCCCGGGTAGAACTTGTTGTACACCTATGAGGAGAAGAACAATGCATGCACCACAAAACAATCGATCAATAATAATTACCACAAAGTCTTGTATAAAAGCCGCGCTTGAATAGAAGCCGCCCTCGATAGAAGCCGCAATTTTGGGCCCATCAAATCACACATAAGCCTGGTTTTAGTGTTGACATACATAGAAATATCTATCTTGTGTAGAAGCGCCTGTCTCATATAGAAGCCTGCAACATTTCACCAAGAAAGTCATAGAAGCCGCGGCTTTTATACAAAACTTTACGGTACTATAATATGTTACAGTCGTGGATAGTTGCTGCATAACTCGTTCTCATGTGTTTCTTCTCTTTTTTATATCATAATATGCATAGTCGTTATGCATGCCTGATGATCGTAGTAATACGTGAAACTCAGAGTTGTGACAAAGCTTCCAATCTCTCTCTTGTGTATTCATTATGCATGTATAAGCACATACCATCATAATGACGGTATTTTACCCAATGCTGCATTTTTAATTTATTTTCACTCGGAGAAGCTTGTCTTGTGATGGTCGCCAGTTAAAGCACAGCATTGAATGGTAGATAAAGATGATCAAGGTATTAAAGGGGAAGTATACCCTCAAATCAAACTTTAACCAGTTGTAGTCGTCAGGGTGCCGAGTCAAATGGAAGCTGAGACGCTCCTTTCCTCCTATATTCCCAATCGAACTCGCCACTTCCACCGAAACTGGGTGACTGGCTGACTGCGCCCTACTAGATGGGGATTTATATGCAAAAATGGGCCATTTCGTTCTTATAAAAGCACAGGTGAACACCATTGGCCAATATGTTGTAGTCTTTCGGACGTTGAGTCGACGGGTTTTGGTTAGGGCTGAAACGATTATACCGAATAATCGAGTACTCGTTTGATAACTCTTACGATCGAGCAATCGTTTAGATTACCGATTACGATTATTTTGCGTTTTTTAAATTTGTGTCCAGAAAGTACGGTAAAACCTCGTTTTGTGAAGTTTGAATCAGTTTCCGCTGGGAGTATGCAGTTGCCAGGGGTATGGTTTATGTTCTGAGGTTAAATTGACTTCAAAACTGCCATGCTTCGGAGCTACCCTTTCACTAATGCAGATTTGTTGGTATTGTGAAGGCATAGTTTGTGGAAACAGAGTAATGTTTGCACAGAATTATGACTCTATTTGCTAACGATTATAATCGATTACTCGATCGTTAAGCTAAAGAGTAATCGATATGTGAAAATCCATGATCGTTTCAGCCCTAGTTTTGGTGTGAGAAGGCTGCGAAGTGCAATGGAGCGTTATCAGGCCCTTATTCCCAATCGAACACGGTTGAGTAAGCTTTGCTTTGCTCCCTGTTCCATTCTTTCCACTTTTCTCTTCTTTTTGTACTTTTGCTATGGCTGTGTGTTGCCCTCATCTCTGGAGTTGCTCCCAATATCAGCATTGCTTACATATGCTACGAGATTGTGTTGAATATATAAATAAATTATAAAATGAATGGACTCGTATAGAGAGCCAAGGATAAATTTATTAAAAAAAGAAAAAGGACCACGGAACTACAAGTTACGCAATAATGTCCACTAACACCACCAGTTACTAAACAATCAGCTCATACGATAACATTGCACGACACTGACCGACGGTACTGACGTTCTACAGCTAACCAGATGTGCTAGAGCTGTTAGCCAGTTAGTTGTAGAACGTCGGTACCGTCGGTCAGTGTCTTGCCATGTTATTGCATGAGCTGATTGTTTAGTAACTGGTGGTGTTAGTGGACATTATAGCGTAACTTGTAGTTCCTTGATCTTTTTTCTTTTCTATAAAAACAGTAAAATCTGGTTTAAGCGACCACCCCATGGTGCAAGCAAAAGCGGTCGTTAAAGCCAGGTGGTCTTTAGAACCAGGTCCCGCAGTGTCTGTGTAGAACTGTCAGTGCAATGAAAGGCGGTCTGTTAAGAGCAGGTGGTCGCTAAACCCAGAGGTCGCTTACACCAGGTTTACTGTATATATGTATAAATAATGACGATAACGTACCATGCCAAAGTGATCCTCCACGTAAGTCTGGTTGGTGCCGTCGTTCTGCCAGTCATACCAGATCGACAGGGAGATGTTGTTCATGATGTTGCTCAGCCACATGCGAGCTAAGCTCTGCGAAAAGCCAATATGTATGTACATATGCACACACGCACATGCATACATGCACACCCGCACCCGTGCGCGCGCACACACACACGCACACACACACACACGCATATACACACACACACACATGCACACACACACACATGCGCAAGCACACACATACACACACACACACACACACACACACACACACACACACAGACAATATCTTCCGAAGGTGCTACCACGTAATGTGACAAAGACACTGGCTAAAACTTGAATCAGATTCCAGAAATGCTCAATAACAATAGTTCCACGATAGTACTGCCGGTCGCCGAAAAAGTTAAACTGGGGGGGGGGGGGGGGGTCAGCCTCCTAGCCAAGACCGTTCTTATTTTCATGCATTACCCTCTATGCGCGGTTGAGTCACCGTGTATACATCAGTATGCTGTTCTTGGTGAAATTTTAGCCTGGTCGTTTTTCGGCGCGCGGCAGTACTGTGTTGACGACCAATAGACTGGACTGACCTTGGCTTGCCGGTCTACATCAAACCCATGATAGCGTGTCGAGTAGCCCCACTCTGACGAGATGATTGGCATCGCCACCTTGCCTGCGGGTGCTGATGCGTTGATTAGCTTGCGCAGGTTGGCAAAGTCGATGGCGGAATCCTCCGGGTCGGTGTCACGGTACGGATGCACGCTGACGGCGTCCCAGTACGTCAGCAGACCGGCGCCGATGCACTGCTCGATGAACTGGAAATCGACGTGTGACGTGGCCGGACCGATCAGCACTACCCTTTCGACATGCTCCTTTAGGAAGGCGGCTGTGGAAGAAAAAGCAAGAGCAGTTTGAAAGACTTGTCAGCGTCGACGCAATCCACATAGTCAAGCAAATTTTGTAACTGAACTTTATAACAAAAGTACCTGCCGGGGTGCTGTGCAGCCCTGGGCATGCGAAAACTGGGATTTTCACTTGAGCAGTGCGCAAACTTGACTCACTCAATTGTATTTTCACCACTGAACCCCTCTGTTTGCCGGTGCTATTTTTTAAAATCGTGTACTTTACTCTATTGTCTTTAGTGCCCGGTTTGCGAGAAAACGAATGTAGACAATACGTATATATTGTTGACACAATATTGATAATCATGTTTCCGTTAGTTCGTACTACGCTAATACCTCGGTTATCCGGACCCCGAAGTTACGGGCATTGTCGTCTACCGGGCACAAGTTTGAACGAGTTTCAGTAGAAATATTACTGTAAAGGCAAACATTTTCGGTGGTATTTTATTTTCGGTAACTTTGCTGCCGACAATTTTTACCGATAATAAAAAATCCCCCCCCCCCCCTCTAATAAAACGCACCGAAAATGTCGGTACAACCGATACTGTATACATGTAGTACTAGCACACTTACCTGGAAAACGGGTTTTACCGAAAATTTCCCTCTACCGGACCGCCGAGTTTGGAGAATACCGAAAATGTTACACCACCGAAAATTTCTGCTTTTACAGTAATACTCCCTTGTCACTTTTTGTTGAAATAGTGATGTCAAATGTCATAATTATTATCTATGACATTTCCCATCGAAATGCATGTGATTCGGAGTTACGGACATGTCAAAGTTCAAAGCTACGGGCAGTGCTTGGTCCCGGACCGCCTGGATAAACGAGGTATGAGTGCACATGATATTAGTATGGGTTAGTATTTGTATGGATGTGGAAGGATCCCCCCCCCCCCCCCCCCCGTTGTGAATTCCAGTCGTTCGTTTACATGGCCGGAATTCGTACATTTTGGTCATTCGAGAATTACAAAACCCAGTTCCAGAATTGTATAAATGTGTAATCAAAAGCGCCCAATGTACTGTAGGCATGTTCTCACTTTTCAGTTTTCAGTTATCACTCAAAATCTCGTTACTCACAGACGAACAGTGCGAACTTGACGTAATCCTGCACGTTCGGTTTGGGCTTCCAGAATCCGATGTTGGGCTCATTGTAGATCTCGTACATGATGCGCAGGTTGAGAAAGTTCGACGCGGCGTTGAAGGCCCAGTTGGAGAACGCTGCGAACGCCTCCTCAGTGTGTGGAGAGAGGCCATCATCGTACAGCGGATTCGCGTAGTCCAGAATGAAAATCATCCCGAGGTCGTACCTCGTCAACACGGTCATGAGCAGATCGTAGTCTGTGAAGTTGTACACGCCTTTCTGCAGCTCCGTCGCGTCCCAGCTCAGGTCCATTCGCACCCATTTCACGCCGGACGCGGCCAGCATGGCTATTTCGCCGTCTCTGGGTCGGGTGTGGATGTGAATGTTGACGCCGTACGGGCTGGGAATGCTCGGCGTCTCCACGAACTGCTGCAGGAACCAATCGGGCAAAGACCATTTCGCTGCGCCAGAGGTCGTGGAGTCCAATGCCATCGTCTGGTCTGATATTTCGACTAGAAGCGTAGCTGCAAACAGCAGCTGCAGCACTGCCGATTTAGTCATGATGACCAGTGGTTTGGGGACGCTTCTTTCCTTCTCCTGAAAACAAGCCCATTAGTTGAAGTCGTACTAATAATTTTAGCAATTAGCGGTTACTGAAGCACTGTTCTTCATCTCCAATTCTCTGATATGCTGCGATTGACGCTACCACCGCGGATATTTTAGCAGGTACACTAGTGCACTCCAGTCCTGCACTGCAGACTCGTAGACCTACACCTGTCTTCCCGCCAGACCTGTCACAGACAATCAGTAGGCGCTGCTTGTAAAGCTTGGAGTGATGTATTGACTGCGAACTACACTGGTGTAGAACGGCAGTTGAAGACCAGTGCCCGTAGAAGAAGCGTAATCATAGGAACATGAGTAAATAGTTAGTTCTGCCTCCCTGGCCCTCGCTACCACAAGCCCGCGGCACTTTTACTCTGCAAGCAGCGGGAGATCCAGTCTGATGCTTTCGCCATACATTGACCTTTTGAACCCGGAGACCGACTGGATCATGGGCAGTGTCTAGCGTAATGTGACATCTCCAAAGATTTCTAGTCCGCTTCGGATTTCACTTTTCAGCGATTCATTGTCATCTGGTCATTGCTGTTCTCAGCTTGGTCGCGTTGACATCACCCAGCACCCTTGGCTAGCCTTTGCATTAAAATGAACAAAGGAAAGCCTCGGAAGAGCGTTTTGGTGTTTTCCCACATGTACGTGAAAAATTAAAGGAACGAGCGAGGTCGATGCGGTGAACACACGCACGCAACTGCAGCGTGTCGAAGTATCACCTAGGCCTAGCGCTAGCTGTGGGAAAACACCAAAACGCTCTTCCGGGGCTCAGGGTACTCGTGAAGTTAGTTACAACACACGTAGATCAACTATTACTTCATTCGTCAAGTAAACGTTAGTACATGTAATTGTTGCCAAAAACAATGTTTCCATTCACACTTATCCTCTCAACGGCTTTATTTAGTCGATATTCTTAGTTGTGCCAGGACGAATTTCGGTAGCTGTGCTAGCTGCAAAGCTTTGTGACCATGTTCACACTCGCAGCGTGCTAGTGCCAGCGGCCAAACAGGCTTACTAGCGGAGACAACGGCGAAGCACCCTCCCGTTCGTTCTATGCCTGACGAAGACCGCTACGGTGAACAGACGGACTGTTCATCTCCTGATGTATTCCAGAGCAAAAGATATGTTGCCACGCAGAGAATGTCGTGTCCTTCCTCCGGGGCTTAGTCGAACGACTTGTCAGCTCGCGTGCATGCGAAGTCCTCGCAAGGAATCCTAATTAAATTAGTTCTGCCAGGGAAAAATGCTTGTCTCTCTGAGCATAAGCTGTGCTTGTCGCAAGGTAAGGCAGATTTTCAAAGTTCTGTTCTTCAACTAACTTCTTGTGACTTCATGGGTGCCGAGCACATGTATGTGAAGCGGGGCTAAAAATACATTGTACCACTGTACCACTGTACCACTGTCGTCGCGCGCTACGGCAGAGTTCTCGAATAGCCCCAACACGGCAACAGATGCTTTGTGTGCAAATGCATGTACATGTATGTGGTTTTGTGCGGCGCTGTTTGCATGGTTTGTGGACTAGGCGGGCGCATATCCGCATAGCGGAGACGGCGAATTCCGTCAGAGTTGACAGGATAATAGAGAGGTTTTGCATGCCGAAATTCGGTTTGGCGTTCGACGTTCATTTGTCCAACATCACCAGTCGAATTTTCGAATGAAATCTGTTTTACAAATCGAACATGTCGCGGGCTCCGATTTTGCTCATTCCAGCACAACGCTTCAAACAAAGACTCGAGGGCCAGCGCTGCCTCCTCATTTCCCTGAGACCTTTGCAGGAGCGGATTTGTACCACCCCTGAGTTGCCTCAGAAGAACCAAATCCACGACCACGTCAAATTGTATGCAGGGGCGTCGGAAGGTATTTTAGTGTGGTACGGTCAGCCATCTGAAGCACAATTTACTCGTGGGGGAGGGATGGCTGAGCCCAAAAATTTGGAAATTTAGAGCCCAAATCAGTGCATTTTATTGATTTACGGGTACTTAGGGCAAAATAGTGGTACGGTCAATACCGTAGTGACCGTACCGTGTGCGACGCCCCTGGTATGCATATCGCCTTCGCCAACAGATCATGGTAAGTGTACTCCGGGGGAAGGGAGACACAATGCAGAGGAGCAATCAGAGGTAGCCCGCGATGCTGATGCCGACGAAGACGCCGGCCAAGCGCCTGCGAAGTCATGACGAGATAAGAAAGTGACAGAAAGCACGCTCTTCAACAAGAAAATATATACTTTCGGCAAAGTCGGCGTTTTCCGAACAAACATGCCAAATCTTCAAGTGCATTTTTCGACCTCTCTCTCGCGTGCCGAGTCTTTTGCCGAATTTGTGAATGCAAAACCTCTCTAATTATTCTGTGCTATCCTGACATGTTCAGTGCAGAGTATCCACCACTGTGGAATTACTTTCTTCCTTCCTTATGGATGCGGCGAAAGGGATTTTCAGACTTTGAACACTTTGGGATGGGCCTGGTTTACTCACCTCCCACAGCTTCAGGCGCTGCATTTCTGCATTGATGCATAGAAGGTGGTGGCGTTCCTACGGATGCGGAGAACTTGATCTCCAGCCGAGTCTGACGAGAACCGTGAATATAAATACTTTTTTTTACCGGAGGATGTACCCAGAGTGCTGACAGTGCTCAACACCACAGAGACAGAGGATAATACACAACAGAACAACAAGGACAATCAAGGCTTGCATACTTTTTTATAATGGACTGTTCCCTTGGGATCATTTTAAGGAGCACAGTCGTAAGACGGCTCTTTAGCTCGTCACCCAGACCCCCCATCTCCTAAGGTTGCCGTCATCACTGGAGAGCATGTATTGCAAGTCTGCACATTTCCGGCGCATTTAAATCTCGGTCTTCCGGGGCTGAAACGCATTTCGGCCGCGTTAATTGTTCAGTGTGTGCTGCTACTGCCTGTATGTACTGTCACATTGAACCTTGCGAAACAAAATTTCGGCCGCTACAACTTTTAGGCCGAAATGCCCAGGCTGAAAATAGCCAAAAATAAATATGCGATGAGTATTTGTTGATTTACGGTACAGCGGGCTAACCAAAGCACACGTAATTGAAGAAAACAAGCTTTCCTATTAAGATCGGAAAGGCTCCTTTTTTTCGGATCTGTTCAACAGACAGAGGGTGAGTTCTCGGAGTGATTTCGGTACATCTAAAACGGATGATTTAGCAGCACTGGGCAACACACACGCGCGCAACATGTTGGTTCGTGCATGACCGTGCACTTCAAAGTATATACTCGCACATAGCGTGCGACACTTCATCTGCTGAGATCAATTCACCATTCCCGGTGGTCTGTTTCTCTTTTCTTCTTTTCTCTCTTTCTCTCTCTTTCCTTCGTGCTTGTACATGTGTGCTTCCAGCTGCCTAGGGAGCGCCGCACCAGCCGAAGAGAGCGCTGGACGCATGCAATCATGACAGTGATTGGTCACAGTCGAGGTGGGTGGCGGCTTGAGTGGTCTGATACACAGTAGGTACTGAGTGGCAGAGCTTCTCCCGTGGTTGCTGACGGGAAAAACCCATACAGCACTGTCGGGCGCCGAAGACCGGATCGCCGAAAAACGACCAGGCTAGAATTTCCCCAAGCACAGCATACCCAATGTATACACAGTGACTCAACTGTGCATAGACCGTAGTACATGAAAATAGGAACGGTCTAGGCTAGGAGGCTCACCCCCCAGTTCTTCGGCGACTGACAGTACTATGCAGGAAAGGTGTATTTCCATAAAAGGAAAAGAAAGAGCAAAGTGATGTTGACTTACACCACCAGTTACTAAACAATCATCTCATGCGATAACATTGCATGACACTGACTGGTGGTGTTAGTGGACATTATAGTGTAATTTGTAGTTCCTTGGTCCTTTTTACTTTTTATAAAATTAATCCTTGGCTCTCCATTCTTGACTAATCCTCCACGACATTTCTGAAGCCCTGTCTCATCCGTACTCTACTGCTGGTAGTCATGTTGATCGGGTTGCCATGCTTTTCAGGGGCATTGCAGGGCAACGGGGAGTGATACGACCGGGGATCTGGGGTTGTACTCCCCCCCCCCCCCCCCGGGAGGGAGCGGATTTTTCGGCCTAACAGGGTACATTTTATGAACTATACAGGCGCTCTGAACTAGACGAAAAGTGGTAAGAACATGGTCGTACCGTGTGTGACGCTCCTGCTTTGTTTTCATTTTCTCGCAGGCAACCCGGTGTTGCTGGAAGATGGTCAAGACAGCCCTGGTTGTCAATCGCCGCTCATCCAAGCGGCACAGTCGAACGACGTGCAGATGTTTCAGCGCTCGCTGAGCACTACTCGTGTGAGCGCGGTGACGCAGAATGCCGCACGGGTGCTGGAGTTGGCGGCAGTCCACGGATACGTCAGCATGGTCAAGGTGGGTGTCTAGCAATATGTTCCATACACTCATGTTAGTATAGAGTGGTGTTCACATCAATTGGTCATGTGACTAAATTCGTGCAGAAAGTGACCATAACACATGGACAGTGGAACCAACATGGCCGACATCATGTGACCCATAGATAGATGTGGGGGTTGAGTGGAGTTGGAACCAACATGGCTACCCCATATGGTCATGTGACAGATGTGAAACCACTCTATTGGAAATGTACTTGTATGCCCTTAATGAGGAAGTCCGGTGAAAAATTTAAATTTCACAGTCCGTAGAGTTCGGGTCGCTGAGTCGAATGGTCTTTTTCCGAGGAGGCTGCGGCCTGTGGTTCGTCAGATATGCCCAATCGAACATGTGCGAATTTGAGCGCGCATCACTCAGATCCAGGTGATGACGTCACAGCGTGCAGCCAGGTAGCCACACCATCTAGTTGTGTACAAAATGGCCATATTCGGAGCGCGTTCGATTGGGGAACCGTTTGTCACAGCTTCTTCGGACGAAGACCATTCAATTCCCTGTGATTTTCAGCTCGGTAAACCTCGAGGTTATACCGTCCGTATTTTAGCCGTTTCCGAGTTGAACTTTTTTCCGTCAGCATGCAATGGCCTCACGCGCTGCGTGCACGCTAGCTGCAGTCCATGCAGTCAACAAACTCATCACACACGGAACTACTCCCGCACTGCCGTGCTGGGGTAGTAACTAGTATAGCTACAACAAGACTCGAGTCACAACTGACACAAGTACAAGACTCTATAATATTATAACTTCTATAATAAACTAGTGAACACACAGACTTGTCATGTACTACACTCGTATCAGTCGTATTGTATAGACTCAGTCATGTAGTCAGAGAACGACGTTACGTGCGTTTCTCCCTGCCGGTGCCGGTGGTTGTGCTTTGAGAAAGAAAATTTTAGTTTTCCGCTCCCGCCTCATTATTTTATGCTACAGCGATGAGTGCACAACAGGGCAAAGGAGCTAATCAAAGAAAACACCAAGTCCTGAGAGAAACACTCGTGCAAAGGACTTTCAGGAAACTAGCCGAATATCCTGGTGCACGGCGTTGTAGGTGCAGTACGCACAGGTGCTACATCAAGCGGAAGCTATCACTGCGCTGCATGTAGATCTTCAAGCACCAGAGGCTCGCGTGGGTACGGGTGCTGATCAGCAAGTACGACAAGCGCAAGAGGCGATTTGAAAAATGGACACTGATATGGCGTTGCCTTTTTGTCTCAAACAAAGACGCATTATTGCGACGAACGGGGATAACACTTACAGTCAACATGCGGGCAGTCTCACTCAGCTTCTGATGGGAAGGTGACAGGCACGCACTGCCTTTGAGTTTGAGCGTGATTCGAGACGAGGAGAAGTGGAACAAGCTATGAAACGACCCGTGCAGCAGCTGTCCGAACCGTACGTTTTGAGCTTCCTCCAGCGATGATAGTGGCGAAGAGGATGTGTAACTTGCTTGAATTTTCGACTGAGTTGCTTACCGTTATGTAAATAATCATGTATATAGTGCTTTGTGATCGTGGCTTGCTTCAAATATTCGTATTTCTTTCCTGAGACAAGTGTGAAGATAAGCGCCAATTTTAACTGGGCGAACCAAGTACATCATTGCGCAATGGGCTTATTCAGAGTAGTCTTCTGTGTTCTATTGCTTCCAGGAGCTGCTGACCTACTTGCAGGCACACCTCCCCGAGCAGCACCTGAACGAGTTCCTGACCAAGGTGCGAGGACGAGGAGGCTTGCATCCCGTGCACGTTGCCGCTCAGAGAAACCGCACGCAGGTGCTGGACCAGTTGGTGAGGCCTCGTGTTCTCTCGTTTGCTGTGTTGAGCCATGTGTGGCGTACAGTTGTGCTTGGTGGCATCCGACCCAGCAGGCGCGGATCCAGAATAGGTCCCAGGGGTTCCGCGTAATACCCTGAATTTCGTAAATGCACTACTGCCAACCATATCCGTATCTATGTTCATGTATCAGCTATTCAGTTTTGACTGAGGATGAGGAGGGCACGCACACACGTGGGTGTGCACACACACATTTACAGGACTGGTGCAAACAAGATACCCTACCTTTTTTTTCTTTTCTTTTTTCCATGGCTGGCTATAACCGCCCTCACCTCCTCCTCGATTGGCCTTGGCCATGAGTGTGTGAGTGATAATAATATTAATAATACCGAGTTTGTGCAGTCTACTCTTGCTCACAAAGACACGTGCACCTGTACCTGTATGTGTTTCCTGGTGTTCTCCTAATGTACACACGTACCAGCTGAGCACCACACCAGCCCTAGGAATGCTGCAGTCCGAGCAAGGTCTCTCAGTAGCTCACTACGCCGCTGCTTCAAACTCGGCCGATGCACTCGAGTGCATTATCAATCATGGTTAGTGGTTTATTGTGGGAAAGAGTACACACGCAGGCTACACGCCTGCGCCGTTGGCGGTGGTCCGACAAGAGAGGGGGGTCTCCCGGGAAATTTTTGAAATGGGGTGCAAAATCCTGTATTCTGGGCGCTTCTGCAATTCTGGGCAAAAACGTGGTCCGGCTGCTCTCCCCCTGATACGTACAATACTGTCGGGCGCTGAAGAACGGAGCGCCGAAGAATAGCCAGCCTAGAATCTCACCAAGCATAGCATACGAATGTATACACGGCGCCTTCTCTGTACAGAGACTCTATACATGAAAATCGGAACGGTCTAGGCTAGGAGGCTGCCCCCCCCCCCCCCCCTGCCACCGTTGTTCGGCGACCAACGGTACTGTAGCACCCAGGGGTGTGCAACTGCCTGTATGACCTCTGACCACATTTATTTATTATTTATTTATTTTATTCCAAGCAATACATGGCTGGGGTAGACACATGACATGGTTCTCTAGGCTACGCTGGCGGACGTGATCAGCAGAGTGTTGAACCTAAAGCAGGCCTGCGTGCAACCCTGTATCTATCATACATGTTATGCAAGTCACGCGTGCGGGTTTATCACGTCTGGGTTCTAGCCTGGTAAAAATCGAAGGGGCTAGGAAGGGGATACAGTTAAATTTTTTCCATTTCCAAAATTGTTTTGCCACCCAAAATGCTCCATAGTTTGACTTCACCCTAGGCAAGTTTGTGGACCTTTTTAAAGAACCCTCTATTAGTGGCTATCCATTGCATTTTTGTTGAAATGCACTCTCATGTGAGGTAGTGGCTTTGCTGTTTGCGTTATGTAGAGCTCACTGACTTGTCAGTTTGAGCACACTGGCAAGCGACGTTCGGGCCTGGTTTAAATCTGGCTAGAACCCTGCAAGCGATGTGAAATTGTGCCGTCACAGACCCTCAGAGACTAGCATTGAATACACTTCTCGGGCCGTATCAGTTGCCAGTATCATTTGTCCGATGATTGCTTAGCGGCTTGAAACAACCAACCTGAACGTCCTCCGCTGTGTCTGCTATGTTCTAAGCTCTGTGTCTGAAATTGAGCACTCTCTGCAGCTTGGGGATCAACGGATTTATTATTGTGAATGTGTGTGTGTGTGTACGCGTGTGTATGTGTGTGTGTGTGTGTGTGTGTATGGTGTGTATGGTGTGTATGTGTGTGTATGGTGTGTATATGTGTGTATGTGTGTGTGTGTATGTGTGTGTGTGTGTGTGTATGTATGTGTGTACGTGTGTGTATGTATGTGTGTACGTGTGTGTATGTGTATGTATGTGTGTGTGTACTGGTATGTGTATACACATCTGGCAGCCATCAAGGCGGGTAACCTGTCCGACGTCCTGGACCAGACAGCACACACCGGTGCTACACCTCTGCATGTTGCCGCATTGGCACACAGCCAGCAGGTATGGACCATGCAGAGAACACTTAAACCGTGGACACACAAAAGTCACAACGGAGGTTCACAGATTTGTCGCAACTCATCTGTAAACCTCCGTTGTGACGTTTGTGTGTAATAGTGCTCCACATTATCGTGTTGAGCCCTCTCCGCTGGCAGAAGGAAGTTTTCCTCCTTGTAAACCGTGAATATATATTTTTAAATACAGGCCTGATTTTCGAGACGTACTGCTGGCACCTAAGCATGGCTGTAGCGTTTGAATTCTTTATTGTGTTGAAACAGATATTGATACCTGGTTTCAAACGTATAATAAGCCTGATGTGAATAGAAGCCTAGCCCTGACATCGGTTTCTACAGGAATATTTTCCGGCTTTAGTACAGCTAGTTATTAGTTACAAGTGCTAGAGTTACCCAATGGTGATCCGGACATTGTTACTATATAAGGCAGACCAAAACGCGAATGCATTCAGCCTTCTGCATGTCTGCCATCATCACGTGTAAGGTCAGGGGATTGGAAGAGGATGTTGTATTTCGGGCACGTAGCTCCGGTGCTGCCCAATGAAATCTCAATCCAGCGAGTCGATGCCACGCTGGGCGCTGTGCAGCGACAAACCTGTGAAGACTGTGGTGTGAACTGATGTACTGGCGGCAAACTTGACTAGCCCGATTGCACTTCACTGAGCGGCATTGTTTGATTGGACTTCACTGAGCGGCATTGTTTGATTGGACTTCACTGAGCGGCATTGTTTGATTGGACTTCACTGAGCGGCATTGCTTGATTGGACTTCACTGAGCGGCATTGCTTGATTGGACTTCACTGAGCGGCATTGCTGCATTATGCTTACAGTTTGTACCTGTACGGTACTAACGTGACGATAGTATTTCAGGCATCCTCTGTATGTTCTGTGTGTGTACGTGTGTGTACGTGTGTGTGTACGTGTGTGTACGTGTGTGTACGTGTGTGTACGTGTGTGTACGTGTGTGTGTGTGCGTGTGTGTGTGTGTACTGGTATGTGTGAGTGTGTACGTGTGTGTGTGTGTACATGTGTGTGCACGTGTGTATGCGTGTTTGTGTGTGTGTGTGTGTGTGTGTGTGTGTGTGTCTGCGTGTGTGCGTGTGTCTGGGCTGCTCTGGGCGTGCATGCCACTAAAGTGTTTCAAGGTGCTGATCGAGAATGCAGCGGATATATCTCGTGTTGACGTGAGTACTCCGGCAGTGCCGACAACCAGTTTTACAAAATTTCAGGCTTTATGTTCAATATTTTCCTTGTATAGGGGTGTATAGCATGGGTGTATTCAACCCTGGCCACTACACTCATTGACATAATTAGACAGGGATAGTGAATTTAGGAAAAGTGGAATCAATGGGTTTTCTGTAGACAGCAAAGGGAATCTTTTGGGATCGGCTTTTCGGAGAGAGGTAAATTTACATGTGCCCATGCGTATGTCTACTGTATGAGCTCGCTAAATTGTGTTCTTGTTTCCTTGCATCTTCTCCACCACAGGAGAGCGGTGAAACATCGCTGTTCTCACTGCTGTCTGGAGATCAAGTCGACCTGCTGCAGTTTGTCATGGAGTCGTGTTCCGACAGCGTACCCACACCGGGGGCTGATCATACTCGATGTGCTGCACACGTTGCCATGGAGTCGGATCGGGGCTTCTCGACGGTTGTCATGACGACAAACTGCCATGGCGACACTGTTCTGCATTGGTGAGAAGCTGGCCCAGTGTGTGCAGGAATCTAATATGGCATATAGCAGATATTGACTGCACTATAGCTTCATGGTAGAGCATTCCTGGCCCTAAGCGAGGGCCCCTGGTTCGAGTCCTGCTTGTGACAGTCAATTTTTTTCAGACTTTCCCATTTGCGACTTTCCCTCGCAGTACTGAATATATAGCAGAAAGAGTACATAACCCCCAAGAATGTGCAACTCGACTATGGGTGCTGTCCCGACGGAATTTCAAGTTGTCATTTGTATGATGCAATGCGCACTGCACACGGATTATCAGACAAATCCGGAACCTGTGGTGGAGCAAAGCCCATCTGATCCTGGACAAATTATTGCAAAGAAAAACGTGTGATGCGTTGACACCCGTTCACACGTTGTAAATCACTGGTGCAAGGAGCATTGCATCTTTAATCATGACGCTTGGGGGGGGGGGGGGGGTATTTACTCTTGATAGAAGTTATGTAATTCCATTTTTTCTTCGGTCCTCCACTCTTTACTGAAACGGAAACGCTCTGCAGAATAGATAGACTGCCACCAGTAGTACCTGAGCTAAGGACATTACATTTTGCTATCTTCTGTCTCCTTCTTCCGTCTCTTGTGCATGACTTGCTGCGGTCATTCGCCTGTGCTCTACGCCTCAGTGCTATCTCCAAAGGATCGGTGCGCTGTGCAAAGCTGCTCTTTGAGAATGTAAGTGCAACACTAAAGTTTTACGTTCGGCATGGTCCCATCGCTCAGATGGTTAGAGCAGGGCTCCGGTCTAGCCCGTTCTTATTTTTCCCGAACCCAGCAGTTTCATTCTTATTCGATGGTACAGTCACACATGTACATTATATATCTTTCAGCCTAGACCGTTCTTAAAATTTGAAATTCTAGCCTGGTCATTCTTCGCCGCTCCGTTCTTCGGCGCCCGACAGTAATGTAGTGATCTATATATTGTTTAGAAATCCCCTATCGGCCAAACTTTAACGACGGCCATAAGTTTCATTTCGAGATTCGCCAAAGTTCTCACCAGCCAAAATTTGTTGATTTACAGTAATTTTGAACAGGTCTGTGCTTCTGCTGTTGCTACAGTGTCCCCAGCTTCTCCTGAGCGGCAACAGGGAGCTGCCCATCAACACCTGCATCCGCACACGGTCTGAACCGCTGCTGCGGCATCTGCTACCGCTGACACTTGACCAGCTACAGGAGGTTGAGCAGAAAGAGCACAGTATGCCTAGAGATCATTTGGTATGTGGCGGTGGAGATGGTGCTGGTCCTCGTGTGAGTGATGCTGGTGGTCCGTGTGGGAGCGTGGCTGGAGTTCTCCTGGATAGTCGACAACGCTCCTTGCTGCACGGTGCGGCGATGTCCGCCAGCCTGCCTATCCTGGCGGCTTTGCTCGAGGTTAGTCTGATTGCCCACTGTGTGTGTGTATGTACAGTAAAACCTGGTTTAAGCGACCACCTCGCGGTGCAAGCAAAAGCGGTCATTAAAGCCAGGTGGTCTTTAGAACCAGGTCCCACACTGTCTGTGTAGTAGTAGTCGGTGCGTGGAAAAACGGTCGTTAAGAGGGTGGGTGGGTGGGTGGGATAAGACGGCCACCTGTCCTAGAAGACCACTGCAACCAGGACCAAGGGATGCTTTTTCCAGTCAAATGACCCTGGATGAGGAGACCACCTGGTAACAGAGACCACACTTTGAAAGTCCCTTGAGCGGTCGTCTTAGACAGCTTCCACTGTAGCTGCTTCTACCTCAGCTTAGCTCAGAATTACCGCCCGAACCGATTCCAATAAAGTCAAATGAACGACAAAGCTTCTTTTTGTTTAACTGACTTGAAGCATTGAAGCCAGACTGGTCGGACGGCGATAACACAGCAAGCTATAAATTGAGAGGGTTTTTTTCTTTGCCTTTTGCTTCTTCATTGGCACATTGGCTCAAAACATGAAGGGGCAGAGCCAGAGATCTCTACAGGGGAGGGTTCCAGTTTAGCCCAAACTTAATAGCGGATACATGTAAATGTACATGTACATCGTTGCTAGTAACCGTCCGCTGGTCCGTTTGTGATGTTATTTCTGTGTGCAGCACTGCCGAGAGAATGCAGCACATCGTCAGCTGATTGGCTGCGGCCTGCCCATGGATGATCACGGTCACACGGCACTGTTCTATCTCGCCTGGATTGGCTCATTGCAGGTATGGACTTCCAGAGCGGGCGCAGAAACACTACAAGCCCTTTCCATCAAATTGTTGTTGTTGTGTTGTTGTTGTTGTTGTGTTTATTTTAATTCGCAAACCAAACGAGCAGATCTGCTCCATGAAAGGTGGCGAATGCAAATTGTTTTGGTCGAAGTACTGTACAGTAGTACTGAGGCATTCGGTTTTTCATAATTCATGTTTGCTTAGCTTCCCTCCAATCGATCTACGCAAAGTTGACTCTACCTCTCAACTCTGATCTCACAACACCAGTTTCCTACACGTCACCTCTATGTGCCTCTGACATTCGATCATTATACTAATGATCATTTTTTTAACTTTGTTTTACTTCGCAAAATCCAAACGGGAATTTCTTCCCATTGACAAGGTAGCAACGATTTGTGTGCATGTGTGTGTGTGTGTGTGTGTGTGTGTGTGTGTGTGTGTGTGTGTGTGTGCGAGTGCGTATGTGTGTGTTTGTGAGTCTGTGTGTGTGTGTGTGTGTGTATGTTTGTGTTTGTTTGTATGTCTGTGTGTCGGTCTGTCTGTCTGTTCCGTATCTTCACTACTTCATGCTACACGTGCATGCACAGGCCATCAAGTTGCTACTGGAGCATTGTCATGGTAACGACTGTCTGTTCGACATCCAGACAGCTCTGCTCAACGTCAGCTCTGACGGCAGAACGGCCTACTTCCTTGCTGCACGGTGAGATTTCCATGCAAACCGGTGGGGAATTGGGGTGGGGGTGGGGGGAGGGGGGAGGGGGGGGGGGAGGTGGTGGTGGTGGTGGTGGGGGGGGGGGTTGGGGGGGGGGGGGGGTAGGGGTGGTAGCAAGAGGGGTTAGGTACAGCATTCATATCCCAATGGTATCACATGCGGCCAGTGACACCGTATTTCCTTTTGTGTTCTGTACAGTTGTGGCCAAAGAAATCCGAACCACCTACCAAAAGCTGCGTCTAGGGCATGCGGCCCTCGGATCAGTTTTGGGAATGTGCATGATGTATGAGATGGAAAACACAACATTACTTTTGACTCGTGGACTGGATTTATTTGGCCACGACTGTACGTCATGCTGTCCAGGGCAACATAACTCTCATCCCAAAGGGCATCACATAATTATGGCCAGCCATCCTTTTCACCATTGCGGTGGATAGATACGATTCGGTACGACCTGAAGGCAGCGTATCTCTCCGTGGAGAGCGCTCTCCAGGCTGCAGGAGATAGACTAAATGGCTGGACACCTTTGACTGGTGCGTCGACTTTGCTCCTGTCTAACAGGTTCAGGGAAGATGAGAGCTGTGTGCATTATTATATTGTACGTTTCGTTTTACCTTCACTGTGTGTATTGTGCAATACAGGAACGGTCATTGGCGATTTTTGCAGTGTATTTTGGAGATTGGCAACAGTGCGCTGTCAAGCTGTCTGTCAAGATGTGTGTGTGTGAATACGGCTGACAAACATGGAGTAACCCCACTGCATGCGGCAGCCATGCACAAACGTGGCAAGTGTGTCAAGATCCTGCTTCGCAATGGTGCCGAGATCACCAGGTATGCGCTGTTGTTCCGTGTGCTGTGTGCTGGGCTGGGCTGGGCTGGGCTGGGCTGTGTGTGCTGTGTATGTGTGTGTGTGGTGGATACCAGGCTAAAATTAGTGGCAGTCAATTCATCAGCCTTGCAAGCTGTTGAATGGTGTAATCCCAGCACAAGTTGCTATGTCTAACATAACTGTTCGCTATCATCGCTTTCGCGATGGGCATATCTGAGTCTGAGTGTGTGTGCGTGTGTGTGTGTGCTGTGTGCTGCGTGCATGCGTGCTGCCTGCTTCGTGTATGCGTGTGTGAGTTCGTATGTGAGTGTATGCGTGTGAGTTCATGTGTGTGTGCGTGGGGGGGGGGGGATGAGTGCGTGAGTTCATCCATGCATAGAATGGTGCATGCGGATTTACCAGATATGCCAGTGTGTCAGCAGTGCTACAGTATGTTTGTGAACCTCAACCTGCATAAGGATTTCTGATTGCTTTTGGTTGAGCCTGTGCAGACGTTACCCAAGGCGTCCTTGTTGAGAAGAGATATGCGTCTTCACTTTGGCTGTCTTCGATCCTGGATCCACCTCTCTAACTGTGCCGTTGGTTCTGAA